AAGACCAGTCTGTGTCAGGTCTAGATGCATTCTATTCAAGTTTAACATGCATATGTTTGCACTCTTATCTGTGAACTGCACTATAAACCTACTCAGTGACTCAATTCTTATTCACATGTAAACCATTTTGTTCTTCATTTTTGTGACATGTCCTGTATTTTGCGTATCAGAAACAATAATTTAATTGTAATGACAATGGGAAAGTGTTAAGCTTTTTTTTTTACCTTCCAGGTGCTAGACAATACAATAAACAAAGTAGCAGAAGAGGTTCTTTCTCCAGAGGAACTTGAAGAAAGGCAGCTAAAAATTTAGGTGAGCAGTGATTTGAAACAGAAACCTTCAATTTTGCTGTTGCAGTTAAGTTTTGTATTGGATCTTCATCAAATTCTGGTGAACCAAACAAATCTTTCTTATAACATTTTTCTTCTCTTTCTAACATAATTAAAACAAATAATTAACAATAATTATATTTCACCTCAGTGGAGGTGAACAATGGTGGATATATATGTACCTTGCCTCTTTGTGGCTCAGTTAATATCCACTAATATTCACCAACACTTTGGCGAAAAATTGGTTTGATATATACCACAGAGAAACCAAAAAAAAATGGTTCATTCCTGCCAATTCAACAAAAAAGTGGTTGGAAATTCATTTTGTCTCTTTGCCTGCTTGGCAGTGAATAGTACTTGCTGATCGCTTCTGAACAAATGAATCTGTGCACATGAAATGCACTCTTCACCTGTGTGGTATTTTCTGACAAGTGATATTTGTGAATATAAGATTCTTTGTGAACTGCTGTGCACAAAAGATTAAGAAAGCAATATCAAATTTACCAGTATTAATTTTTCATGTCATTGCACTTTTGTTTATGGGAAACTGCATTTAATATTTCTTGTCAATTCTCTGAAACTTATCAGATATTTTTGTCTTCAAGATTGTTCTTGTTTGTTTGTTTTTAATTTTTAGCCACTTTAGCCTTCTACATGTGACTGGTAGTGTATTAAATAGCTTTTTGTGATGCTTTCAGTGCTACTGACTCCCACAGAAAAAGAGCAGCATCCCCATCTGTACCTACACCCCATACTCATGACCGCCCTCCAAGGACTACACCCAAAGAGGCTGCTCCCAAGGTAAGTCTGGACAAGCTGTGAATTCATCAAATAGGAAATTTTAAGAACAAATAAGAAAGTTAAGTGTGAGATGGCAGCTTAACCTGTTGTTCTCTTAAGAGTGACTAGCATCTAATTTCTCCTTTCAATATGACCTCTGAATCAAACATTAAGGTCATGAGAAAATAGGAAATGATCACAAACTAAAAAAACCTTCTTGATTGTTAGTCAAATTCTCCTTGTCAGCACCTAAGGAAGTGTTTAGAGAACAGTAGGGAGAATATGTATGCTAATGTCAGGGAGTGAGGGGTTAAAGGTCTAGAGCTCTGAGTTAAAGACTTGGACATGTTGCTGTGTTCTTGGGTGATACACTTTACTTTCACAGCACCCCTCTCCACTCAGGATTATAAATGGGTACTGCTGTCAAGGAAACCTGATGAAATGCAGGGGGGGGGGGGACTTCCAATGGACTGACATCCAATCTGGGGAGGGGGGGGTGTAAAACCAAAACCTAAAAATCTCCTAGACCAACTAGATGAAAAGAAAATAACATGAGCTAATGAGAACTAACAGTGAAAAAAAACAAACTGGCTGAGGAGTGAGAAAACGTGAATGATCAGGCCACACCTGATTGGAGTTTTGAGTCTGATTGGTCCAGAAAGTGACGTAAATTATCTTGACCAATCACAGAGTGAAGTGAATAAAAACCAAAACAATCTTGGATCACCTTTGACATTCAATTCATAATTGCTTGAAAATGCTGAATATGTTTAAAAAGGTTCTTAATTAATTTGTTTGATTTTACAGGTCAGAGCTGCAGCAGAGCCCAGAAATCTTGCTATTAGTGACCCAGAAGTGGTGGAAGTTGGCCCTGCCATGTTTTCAATTCCTCAGGTACCCTTTTAACACTTTTTCCTCTGGGGCTGGTCATCATTTATTGTGGGGGGAGGGGTTGGGGTTGAGGGCAAAGGAAGGGATGGAGGATTTTGGTTGTGTTACCTGATCTCTCCATAAGGCTTTGCGATATTTTTTTATCCCTCTTCTCA